TATAAATATTCTCTAACAATTACACCTACTTAGCTTTTCGAAAATGCATCCGCGCAGTTGGAGAGCATAATCGTATCAGTAACGATGGAAAATTATCGACAATTTATATCGTTACAACTCTGCAAAAAAAGACAAATCCATTTCGTTTTATTTTCAAACGGAGAATGTCCATTTTGATTGTTATGAATTCAAGACCAATTGAGCTTATTATAATATAACATACATTTGTACGTTATATTCCTGTTTTACATATTTCATATTAGAAACATGCGAGTCTAGAACGAATTAATCCCGCTACACGATGTTGGCCATTAATTGCAAATATCGCCTCAAACATCAAAATCAGATTATTCGGAAACTCGAGCAGCTTAAATTCAATATTGATCGTTAATTGTAAGTATCGTCTCAAAAATCAAAATCAGATTACTCGGGAACTCGAAGAGCTTAAATTCAAGTTGCTCGGTTGAGATTTAACAACAGATCGAACATCTCCTCGGTGCGAGTTTCGCTCGGTTTCGATCGCCATTCTACTCGACGATTCATCGGCGAGATACTCGCGCGCGATGTTATCACGTTCTGAAGGAACAAAACAGCAGAACTATTCGGTGAATTCTACGAACCAACCCCCCCCCCCCCCCCCCTCTTTGACCCCGTAACGAGGTGCAAGTGATAGGCCGAGGCCACGTAGGCGTGAAACAACGTAACATAAAAAAAGGAGCCGAGCTATTGTTGTCGCGTTAAAATAAACACGATTGACTTGGATGCAACTACACCGAGGCGGACGTGTACGCGCGGATGACTCCGTTACGTCATTAATGTGTGTATATATATATATGTGTGGCGTATACGAGACGAGAAGAGAGAGACAGAAAGAGAGAAAAAAAAAGGCTCGCACCAACACGCGTGCACAGTGCGCCGGCGTTAGAACGATCGTCGGGTCGCGGGTGAAAAATTCATTTCGCCGTATTTATTATCGGCCGCTTTGTGAGACTTATCCCCATAAGGGGATAAACGGGAACGGCGATTTCACGGAATTTCTTTCGCCTTTTCACCTCGAATCCGTGTCAAAAGTGACATAAACACAGACTGTCTATAAAGTCTCTTTACAATTTCAAAAATTTATTGCATTTATTATAATTTACAATTTATAAGAGAAGATAAGTGAAAATCATTATAGAATGAGACAGTGTATATTTAAGTTTTTTTTTTTTTGCCTCGTTTAATACACCTTTATATGGGCACCATGTTAGTTGCACGAAGCACATCAAGACGGTACTCAATTTCTTACACGATCGATGTTTTCCTCGGATGTTCTTGGTCGTCCACTTCTCCCTTTATCCAACACTGTCCCTGTGTCCATAAATTTTTTGTGCCACGCGCGAACTGATGGTCGTGACTGTGGATCCCTTCCATACTTAGTTCGGAAGTTTTGCTGAGTCTGCAGATCCGATTTGGTTTCAATAAACCACGATGCACACTGTGCCTTCTCTCGAGGAGTGGCCATTTTGTAAG